AATTTGGTATAGCAGAGCATTCAGGTTTAGTTTATATAATGTACACAAAGCTCTGGTGAACCCAACAAAAAGGAAGAACAGTCACAGAATGTCCGTGTAACTAAGCACATCTGTGCTTGTTGATGGTCCTTCTTGAACATCATCTTGCTAAGACATGTTGTCCACCTGGCCAACCGTAAAATGTATGAAATAATAAAATATAGAATACTTTCATAATATGCCTTTTAAATAAAATAAATTGGATATTTAATGTTTTTTAGTTTTTTTTAACAAATGGACATCTACTGTCACAGCCTGGCTAACTGTGAACTATATTATCTGCCAGTAATTGATATGGCATTATGACATTCACATTGAGAAGATACAGCATAACTTGTAATACAGTGCAAGATTAGATGGTCAGACGTCTCTTGATAAGGTTATCATGAACATACAAGCTCCCAATCTCTCTCTTCCTATAGCTAGCTACTCGACTGATAAGTTAACTTGCTAAACACTGGCTATGCACTAGCCTAGACAGCATGCTAGCGTCATTAGCATGTTAGCATCGATCGCTAGCTTGATATTATAACCATCACCATGTATATACAATAGGCTATGTAGCCAGACCCAGACATAAATTATACATCAAGCTAGTTGACATCTGTCACACTCCGATAAAATATTTACTTTGACAGACAATCCGTTGAGCTTGAAGATCTGAAGACTGAACTCGTGAACTGTTTTTTGATTCGTGGAGAAAGTATTTTGAGTATTTTAAATACAAATTTACTCCACTCTAAAGTATTTTGTTACAAATTACGTTTGATTTTTATCGGCCCTATCAAATACAAATTACAAAATACTCAAAAGTAATTGAAATACGTATTTCAAATACAAGTAATAGAAATACTGCCCATCTCTGACATCATGGATATATGACATATTCCAGTATCTTTAGACCAGCATATCCTGTTGGGAAACCAAATGTATGGGAAAAAGCCATCATTTCACAAAGGGTGACTTCAGTATTTTTCAACCTGGATCCTATTTTCCCATGTTTTGTGTCAAAGTGACTCATAGGGACAACACTTATTTAAATTGGTATTGAAGGAGAACGCCGTAACCGGCAGCCACAAAACAAGCTGCAAGAGCAATTGCGTAGTATCAATGTAACATTACGAGAGTAATAAAACCTTTTTTTTACCTTTAGCTTGATCTGGTCTGTTTGTTTGTGTTGAACCAAGTCTCACTCAAGGAGCTCAAGTCTCACAGCAATCACGTCTCCAGAGCTTTGCTGCCCTCGCACCATCTCTCTCTCCTCTCCTGCTCAAATAAATACGGGCGGCCATCAAATTCAGATAACACGGAGCTATGCTTTCTGTACTCCCAACACAACAAACTCTGCCCATCCGGCACTCATGTTACCGCTGTTGTCTTTCGGCAACATGTCACCTCACAAGATTTCAGAACGAGACTTCTCCTTGAGCAAGACTCTGTCCTTAATGCTGTCAGACACTTATTATAACAATCTGAGCCTGTAAGTGGCCAAAACAAGCACTTTTAGTGGAAGTAAAGACAGTGTCAGTTAGTCTAGATCAGGGGTCGGCAACCTTTACTATCCAAAGAGCCACTTTGCCCTGTTTTCCACAAAAATAAAATTTTTCTGGAGCCGCAAAAGCTATTTGATATCACAGTTTATAAAGTTTTATATATAGTTTTATTATTTATACAAAAACTATAGTTTGTTGTATTTATGATATTATAGAACAAGAATAAAGACAATTCTTGACATTTTATTGCTATTTTACCTGTTATAACAATATCAAACTCTTATGAAGAGGAGAGTTTGCTACAGCAGTTGAGAAATCGCTCTTTTTTGCTCATCTCCAGTGTGACACTTTTCAGCATATGCTGTGTGCTTGTTCTGGAAGTGTTTTTCAACATTACATTTTTTGCATATATCAAGCATACAGGTAAGCCAGCATCGTTGGCAGAGAAAGCAAATGAAGACGTCCATGCTGAATTAAACTCTCTATTTTCCTCCATGACTTTTCTTTTTTTGGATTCATCCATTGATAGTTTACCGAGGGTGGGGGTCTGCAAATCATGATTAGCCACCTGCAGGGAAAGGCGCTTGACAGGTGTAATAGGATGTGACGCACATTTTAATTGACAAAATATTAAAACATTTTTATTTAAGGTCATGTATTACTGACCTTGTTGTCTTTACTAGCAGCTGTTGTCCAGTTAAAGTCTGCATTATTACGGAGAAAGAAGCTGTTATTGGAGCGATTAGCGAGCAGCGTGTCCAGCGGCGTTATCAGACCTATGGAGCGGCTGTCTGAAGTCAAGTTAGCGGCTTTGAGCAACCAATCTACTTCCTGTTTACACCGGCACCCACCCGTATGCCCAGTGTACGTGAATAGTCACGTGATATTCGATTTCAGGCGTTTAAGTCTGGACGGAGATGATTTAGAAAACGATGCTGAAACGCCGTGTGGACGGAGATCGTTTTAAAACAAAAACATATTAGTGTGGATGTAGACTCAGGGAGCCGCAACAGAGGGGCTGAAGAGCCGCATGCGGCTCCGGAGCTGCAAGTTGCCGACCCCTGGTCCAGATAGTACAGCCTGTATAGCGGCTGCCATCTACAGCGCTCTCCCTCAATACTGGACCAATTTTGGAAAACGATGTCTCTATTAGTCACTACCGGCCAGGGGCCGGTTAAAAGAAATGAGTGAGGGGTCAGCAGGCAGTCAATGGCAGTATCAAACAGACTATAAGAGGTGTTTGGGAAAGTGTGAGTCACTGCAACCATGAGAGGTCCTTGAGCACACAGCCAAAACTGACCACCCAAAATATTTAGCAGTTTGCTGCAGCAGAGTGCGAGATTGGTTGTGGACAGACACAGAGGTGCACCCTCACACACACACGTGACCGATCTCATGATCATCTGGCAGAGATAATCACAATTGAGTTCATTTTAGGATGTTTTATTGTATTGTAGTGTCCAGGCACACTGCTTTCCCATCATGCTGATAATGAATCCGCTTGCATTTAGTCAAGTTAGTGTGAAAAAGGTGAATGCAGCAGATATTTACAAAGTGTGTCCTTTCTATTGCATAGTGGGGGCCCAGGCTATGTTGACCGGCCCCAGTGCACGCTATTATGATTGGCTCCAGTGCACGCTATTATGACTGGCCCCAGTGCATGCTATTATGATCGGCTCCAGTGCACGCTATTACGACGGGCCCCCTTGCATGCTATGACGGGTCCCAGTGCACGCAATTATGACGGGTCCCGGTGCACGCAATTATGATGGGTCCCAGTGCACGCTATGATGACGGGCCTCAGTGCACGCTACTATGGCGGGCCTCAGTGCATGCTATGAAGGACTTATTTTATAACTATTTTACCCCGCAAAAAATGAAAACTATGAAAGAGATTGGTTTGCTTTTTCGAGGGAATATTTATCAAAGAGCACCATTGTTGATCAAATATTTTATTGTGTCTTTTTATGACTGTATCTTTTGCTATAGTTGTTCTTTGCCCAACTTATTGTTGGAAAGCCAGGCTCCAGTTTTATATTTACACCCTTGCTACCTACCATATAGGCTCGACATGTGCAACTTATCCTTAATATGCCAAATGTGGCCATACATGAATCCTTAGATGACTCTGTTCTTGCAGAGGATGATGGAGGGGAAGAGAGCTCTGAAGGAAGTGTAGATGAAGAGGTAGAGGAGAGAAGAGAAGAGAGGCTGGACTGCAAATGACCCTTAATAGGACATATGCCAAATGTGGCTATACTTTAATCTAATATTAATCCTGTATCATGCTTCTAGGTTGCTCTGTTTAAAGGACTGAAATGGTAACATATCAGACTACAAAGCAAATAGCACAATAATATTCCAGTCTTGTTCTTTCATTGTGTGATGGTAAGCCTCTTTAAATAATAGGATTTAAGAAATAAGATGGCCATCTCTTAACTTTATGTAATGCCTGGAGGATGACAAATACCTTAACAAAGCTATTCTCAACCTTTGGGCCGGGCCACTGTTGGTTCCTCAGAATGCCATCTAGTGGTCTGCGGAGGTACTGCCAAATGATTAAATAAGTAAAAATATTTGGGGGTGTGGGGGTAATTTTTTTTCAATGTGCTCAAGATTTCACTTAAACAAAAAAGCATTGCATCTCAAATAAAGCATAATTTCCATGACCAGTTCAATCACAACAATGTATCAGATACAAACCCTCTTCGCTAATTACCTTCCCTTCAAATGCTATGACACAAAATGGATTGTTTTTGTTAAATCAAAAAGTGATGCAGGGAACAAGCCTGGGCCAGTAAAAGCTCCTAAGCTTGTGGTGAGGAAATATGACCCTGACTGCTTAAAATATTAGCATCTGCAATTGCAGAACACCTGAACAAATTCCATGTGGTGATGAAGAACACCTGACGTGATCAAAAGACCAGAGCAGCTCCAATATGGACCTTGAGATGGGAGAAGTTTTTATATGACCTACATTGGCAAATAGTTTATGTTTATTTATTTTGTAACATTCTATATGGGATTGAACGGACAATTATCAATTCTTAATACTCAAAGGGGCAGAGGGTAAGAGCAAGGCTAGCAGAGACACATATATACACCTTTTAAATCCAGGGAGCTAATATAACACTGTATGTAACACTGTCAGTGCATAATGCTATAATGTTATAATGTAGGGCGATGAGATAACATGGTATGAGCTTCACATCCTCCATTATTAGAAATGTGTGATACAGAGACCAAGGGAGAGAGAGAGAGAGAGAGAGAGAGAGAGAGAGAGAGAGAGAGAGAGAGAGAGAGAATAGAGTAGAATACAAACAACGCCCGATCGGGAATCAACAAAGCATATCAGCCTACATGAAACGCACTCAGTAGGAAATGGCGTATATCCGCCATTGCTGCCCATTGCTTCTTCTTCCACCTTGGACATACATATACACACACACACACACACACAGGCAGTGAATGACGTAGAGCTCATGCTGCGAAAACAGCAGCAACGTTATTATAGGTGTTTCGTGAAACATAACATATTTTCACTTGAGTGAAAGTTGTTTCAACTGTGTTTTCCACGAAAAAATGCCCTTCGCGGCACTAGTTTGGTATATGACAAGCAATACATATTCATCCGCTTCTACATGAGTGTCAAGAGTACGTCAGTACCCGGATGGACTGTCATGGCCGCCGTCGCTGTGGATCCATAGAGAGGAGAGAAGGAAGGCAAATGTTCGACTGTGTGCTTTTTTTTGTACCGTAACCTCCTTTTTACAATGCCGGACGTTGACGGGGACGCCACCTGAACTTCCATCGAGTTCATAGTAAGATATAACTGGTTTTCTGTAACTTTAAATGTCTTCGCGTGGGAGGGGGCTTTATTTTGGTGTAAAATAACTGGTTATTCAACTCTACAGACACTTAACATGATCGCGAAGTGGCTCGTCTGTTTCCCGTGTGTCAATATCATAATTGCCACAGTGCAGTAACATATCGCAGCGTTCATTCTGGAGTCCTTTGTTGCTGTCCGTCTACAGCCTTTTAATTCTCCCACTGATGCAGCGTTCCCTCGCGTTTCCTAAACTTAAGCGACTATGGAGCAAGTCACTCGGAAGAAGTAAACATACATTATTTTTTTAAAGATGTCGCACTCCGAGGTTAAGGCAGAGCTTCACATATTTGCAACATGTTGTAGTTGTCCCCTGTGTGATGTGACTGGGGCTGCTGGAGTGTGATCACAGTTATGAGACAATGCAACTTTCCCTCTTCATCTCCAAGCTTCTTTTATATCTCTCCCATCTAACGTTAGATAGCGCGGGCAGAGAGGAGCCATACCTTGTCTGCGGTCCAGGTGTTCACTAAAGTCCTGCTCAGTTTAACTACACTATTAGTTTCATCCAGTTTTATTAGAAATAATAAAAAATATGTGTATATGTGTTCTCTCCTGTGTAGATTCATTTGATTTGGAGAGTAAGTTATTGGTATTTAAATGATTCACATCAGCCCAAGTGTGTGTGTTGAAGACAATGTTGGCAGAGATTCAATTCTCTCAGACTGACTGAAGTAGCCGGTGCAGATAAGTCATAAAATCACGGCAGCCATTTTTCCCCCCAACATGGCTGCCTCAGATCCACAGGGTTGACAGCTGACTGAGACGTATGGAGTTGAAGGCTAATGTAGGTCCCCTTGCTGACCTCACATGAATACTTAATACGTATAATGTTTAATTTGGGTTGGTAAAGCCTGTAATTACCATGTTTAAGAAGAGCTCTCCCTGTTGCATGCTGGGTATGCGATTAGGCCCTCTGAATCCGGTAAATGTGGCACAGAGGAAGTATGCTGCGTGCTAAAACATTTCCCCAGTGTTGATAATCTGGATTACACCGGCATTTCACGTTCAATAGGGTTAATGCTCACTCGTTTCCAAAGGTGTAAAAGTTAGTCTGGTGGGTACAAAAACTTGGAAAACAACACTGCATATTTTAATGACTGCTCCACAAAAAGTACATTTTCAGAAATGTTTGTTTAACTAATCGGCTGAACAATTGATCACTTGCTTTGTCAATAATAAAATGTCAGAAATTTTTTTTTTAATTCCCCAAAGTCAAAGTGATTGAGTAACAGGCCAAAGGTATTATAGGGGAATGCCACCAGTGTTCCTCATCAAAGTCTGTTTCCAGTTGTTGGGAGTACTAGTGTATTTGTGTAAAAAAGTTGTATAAACCTTTTAGTGTCTCCAGAGGGAGCTGTGTGAAGTCTGATGTGATGTCTTTTGAGTCTCGCGTGTCTGAAAGATTCTTAAGTTTGAAAATGAAATAACAAAATGTTGGTGTGGAGTTCTAAAGAAGTGAGTTAATGAGAGCGCTGTAGCTCCTCATATCTGCTGCAGGCCGGAGCCTCCGTGCATGTTAGCTGCTACTTGCATAACGGGCCCAATCTCTGACCGAACTCTCGGCAGTCCATTGCATTGTGGGCAATGTAGGAGCAAGATTCTGACAAGGAAAAGTGTTTCTGTTATTATTAATAATAATTCTAATATCAACGTTATAATTTAACCTTATAAGGTTCGAACCATTGGGTACTGTAGTTATCTCCTTGGATAATGAAAAGCAGCCAATCCTCGCAGCTTGAGAAGCTTCATTTTGGGAATGTTTCATACTGGGTACAGTTTTCATGTTTTATTGTAACTGTACGGGTCTGCTCACTTGTAAAAGTGATGCTGTTCGGGTTGTTTTCCTGTTAATGTTTTTATTACTACTCTGGTTATGAATGATTGGTGCAAAGTGGGCTTAACTGATCTTGCTGTCAGTGAAAAGCCGGTCAATACATTTCAGAACTAACACATGTGCATGTGTACTCTACATGTGTACTCAGCAGCGTGGTGTGATGTTTAGCAGAACCAGTGTTGACTGGTTTGTTGATGGGAATATTTTCAGTTATATGAAACTAATAATGAGAATAATGATAATGTGTCAGTATTGACAATTTTTTTCACTTCTGTCTTACAGGCACAGTGGCCACACCGCGACCTCTTCTTCAGACCCGACATGCATTAATGTCTGAGTTTGTCCTAAAGGAGTACAGGTAATAACTGCTTATTAAATGTGTTCTAACTCATTTTTGTCACTTTGTTCGGCTAATTTAATGGTCCGCCTCCTAAACCTGTAAGCACCAGCGTCTTTTGAAAATAAATAAATGTCAGTTGTTCCCAATGAGGAGAGAGCGTATTCGGCTGCTGAGAGAAAAAAAGCTGCATCTAGCGTTCTGAGGTTTTGTTGCGCAGCCTCTCCGAGCGCTTCTAGTTGAAAAATCTCTGAACTTTTCAAAAAAGGGGCTGGGAGCACTTCTTTTTGATGAAACGCTCCTCAGCCAGAGAAAACCATTATGGAAAGTGGTGTTTATACTCTGTTAGCGTCGTGGCGCGAGCCTCCGCAGACTCCGAGCGTGAACCGAGGGATTTATACTCTACGCGTTGTGCGCTGCATTATTCTCCCAAACGGCAGAGGGCGCACAAACAAAATGAACTGTGAAGAATCATAAAGACAAAGAGTGTAGCCCAGAGATACACCCAGAGACTGTAGGTAGTACTTTAAAAAAAAGCCATAAACTAACCTCCACAATGATGATGAGGAATTGTAATTATGTGTTATCTCATATTCATGGACTACTTTATTCCCTTTGTACAAGCCCTGTAAATAAACGAGTTAAGTGTTAAAAGCATTGTAAAGAACCAAAGGTTGAATATCCTGTTAACTATTTGATTTGGCTGCAAAATATTTACTTGAATGTAGATTTTTAAGACCTCCTGTTCCTAAAGCATTTAAAAGTGAACTGGTCTTCTTTGTATAATCCCTAGACATATAAACGATGCTTTTATCAGTGAACTATTGACAGTCACTTGAAGTCGCAGCAAGTTACAAAAATTTGGAGGCACACGACCAACTACTGCTAAGTTTAACAGTTGTCAGGCCGTGGACCAAAATGAGCCGCATGCCTCTGCGGGACAAATTCAACCATTTTGGTGTTTCTTTTGGTCTAAACCATTCCATTTGTTCCTCTACATCGTGGTTGTTCACAGTCTGGGTTTTCTTTATTTCATTAATTACAGACACAAACTATAATGTGTTACTCTACCGGCTCAAAAGAGAGCAAAGAGAGATCAGGGTGATGGTCAGAGAGATGAAGTAACGCGTGGGAAGTTTGAGGCTTCATTAAGGCAAATTCATATGTAGTCTCCAACTTTTTTTTTTTTACTGAGATTTTTTACTTTGCTTTGCACGAGAGCAAAGGAACAAGTGTGTAAGAAGTACATTTGCATGTGAGCAGGGAGGAGAGACCTGGAGTATTGTGATCTCTGATTGAGCCTTCAGTGAGCAGGCAGCATACTCTCCAAGCAATGCGTGTCACTTCTACACGGACAACACTGGTATGCAGACTAGAGGGATTCTGTTTTGACTAAATGTCTCTTAATATCTGTATTTTGGCTCTTTTTTTGTTTTTGGTGAGCTCCAGATAACGGCTTTTCCTCTAAGTGCGAGGGTCATGTATATCTGTATCCTCCTTGCACCGTGGATGACTCACAGGTCTGCTACTCAGGTTAAAGATCAAATCACAGTTTCACTGGTGCACATGTTGCGTATAGACCACTGTGTCACCACTGATCAACACATCTGGTCGGACGTTTGTCGGTGTAACAGGCAGGAGGATGATCTGAGTTTCACTCTGTTAGCTGTCTATGAAAACAGGGTGTGCGGTTGATTCGTCAGTAAACTCTGCCTCATTGTGTTGGTCAAAGCGCATCACCGCATCACACCACCGCATCGCACATTGGCTTTTGAAATGAAACTATTGACTTTCTTTGCCATGCAATAAGAGTTATTTAAGGCTCATCCTTCACGTTAATTCACTTTACCCTTTTGAGGTTAATAATCTGGCAAAACTACAACCCTTGGTGGAATTAACGTGCCAGTGATGGATGGGTATCTTTAGGATTTTTTCGATACTACTACTCATCGATTCTGCTTATCGGTTCGGTTCCTTATTGATTCTCTCATCGGTTCATTGTGAGAAAAGAATCAACATTGCTTTATTCTTGTATGTAAACAAATAGTCTTTCTTGAACAGCAATACAAGAAGTTCCAAAATATTCAAAATACATTTGCAGCTTAACAATTAGCTAAGTGATTAGCTTTAATTTATTAACCTATTCTTAATGGCAAACTCTCGGCTACACAAGCTAAAACAGAAGCCGTCTAGTCTAACTGTTTAGCTTAGTTTGCCAAGTTTCTTAAAATGTCTTGTTAAAATTCTTGTACACTGGTGCTGGCTGAGACAAGGCAGCCCCTCCTCCCTCTACCAGCACAGGCAGTGAATCGGATCAGAGGGAGCACAGAGAACAGGAGGAATGACTGATGCTGACATTGGAAATGTGTAGTTAATATACACATTCCATTTTATTTATCGCAAGTCATATCGTCATCGCGATATTGAACAATGTTATCGCACATTGCCGTTTTTCCTCTTATCATGCAGGGCTAGAGGGCATGAAATCCTGATAAGCCTGATCACCAATGGCCCTCAATCTATTTGGAACAGGGATTATCATGCACCATTGGATATCTGCTCTGTAGTACATACATACTACTATGTATGTACTACAGCAATGTTAAACGCATTTAGAGTAAATTGGATCCTATTGATTGTACTAATGAAAACCTCATGTGTTTACTTCTCTTACAGATAACTGTAGATTTACAACTATGGAAGAAGACCTCACAATACTTAATGACTCTGCCAAAAACTGCAACATATCAGTAACTGGGGATGAAAAAGAAAAGGTAAAAGACTTTGTGTTTAAGCATTTCAGAGAAGTCACGGATGGGTCACTCTTCAATAATGGAGAAGAATCTTCCATTAAGGAGCACGGGAGTTCCACCAAGAAAGATAAACCAACTCTGAATAAAGCCCATTGTAAAATTCAGCAGGGGGCTGTTTTCTCTGGAAAGATTCTGAGTTTTGGATGCTCTGTGTGTAAAGATGATTGCACATACAGCCCCAATGATCTCCTTAAACATTTCCGAGGAGCCCATAAAGGAACCCTTCCTACATACCCTTGTGACCTGTGCGGTTTTGCCACAAACGAGTTCCCTGCTCTTCAACGCCATCGGATTGAGCACAGGAATACTCTGGTTACATGCGAGCTCTGCAACAATGATGTTCAGTACTCTCTGCTTTTGCTCACCAGACACTACATCATGTGTCACAGTCTAAATGGACAGTTTACCTGTGACTGGTGTGACTTTACAACTCTGGACGCAGGTACATTCGTCCAGCACATCCATCATCATAATGAGAGTCCTTGGAAGTGTTCGAAATGCAGACATATCGGCTTGAACGAGGAGGATCACCAGAAGCACCTGAAAGCTCACTCTGGTTCATTCCCCTACACTTGTCAGATCTGTGGATATGGTGCAGCAAGAAGCGAGTATCTTAAGAAACACACAGCAGCTGTTCACAAAGAGGAAGCTGAGAGAAGGAATGTATTGAAGGCTTTAGACGATAGTGGCAGCCCAGGAAATGCATCTGCAATCTTAAAACTTTTGGTGAAAAAGAGTGGTGAATCACAAGAGGCTCAGAGGATATCAAAACTGTCCGGGAGTTTACCCAGCCAAAATGGCAGGCTAATCAAATCAGAGATATCCGTTGAGGAGACCCACCACTTTGTGGATTCAAAAAAGGAAAACAAAAATTCGGGCAAAGGCTCTCGTAACACAGATCAGTCCATGCCGGTAATGTTACAGGAATGTGACAACTCTGAAAGTTCTGATGCTGGAAGTCACACCAATCCTAATGGTCTGACTGTTCTGATGGTTAAGAACAAAATCTCTCTTCCCCCCAACTGTACAACCAAAGTGATGGGATTCAAGATGGTTGATGGCAAAAAACATTTAGTTCTCAAAGTAATACCCACAGCAAAGCAAGATTCATCCACTCAAAACCATTCCTTGATTGAAGATGTGGGCTCCTCAGCACCAAATCCTGTCTTGGAGAAAAGTAGAGTTCCCAATGAGAATGGGGAATGCTCTAATAGCAAGACCTCAACATCACAAAGTTTTGCCCTTTCACCAAGAAGTGAATCTTGCATACAGATAGATCAAGGTGATATTATGGCAGTAAAAGTTAAGATAGAGGAGGAAGAAACCTCTATTTGCAACCTTGATTCCACCCCACCTAGAGATGATGTTGGAGAGCAAGCTAATCCTTTACTAGGTAGGTCTTCAACTTGTGCAGATACGTTATATCCAATGACGCATGACTCTGATCATGTGGGTGACCAAAGTCCCCCAAGTCAAACCACCTGCTCAGAAAGAAGTAAGTTTGATAATAACTCTGCAACATTTAACATGGTCACTCCGTTAACTTCACCTTCAAAAGTTGCTGAGGAATTATTGCTTTCCAAACAAGTCTCCAAAGAAACTATTGAAAACTGTGGGGCTGCAGATGAGTTATTGATGACTGATACAGATGCAGACAAATTCATTGACAAACACAAAGGGAACTCTTCCTTTAGCATTATAGAAAATGACGATCAATCTTCTCAGAGTACCTCAGAAGAAAGTGATGGGATTGGAACTGAGATTGAATATAAAAATGACAAGCTGCATTTAAAAAAGCTTTCAACTAACCCAGCACCTCCAGAATCATCCCCGCCCACCCCAGGTAGCCGCAGAGAGAGTCTCATGGGCTGCACACAAAATTCACCAAACCAAGAAGTATTTAATTTTCACAATTATTCCAAGGAAACATTTGGCACTTCACCCAACACTACCCAAAACTTTGACAATATGTCTGATTATTCAGCAGACAAAGAAAGTATTTGTGAATCATCACAGTTTAGCTTGACATTGGCAGAGTCTCCAGAGCTATTCACAGAAAGTGGCAATGAAGACTCAACTCAAGAAAAGGTTTCCGAGATTGACATTGAGGTTGATGAGTGCATAGCTGGTGTTGACGATCCTGCCACTGAGGATGAAAATCCTGAGTCAGTGCTCCAAGACTTCAATATTATCAAAATTGAGGAGGAGAGCATTCCTATATCTAACAAAGAGTCAGAAATGAAGAGTAGTTCAAATTGCTTTGGCAGTTTTGTGGAGGAACATTCGGACGCAATTATTACCCAACAACTTCATAAGGAAAGAGTTGGATCTTCAAGTGCAAGTAATAATTCTTTAAAACAAACAAAAACCACTCTACGAATTCTTCAATTGCCAGAGGGTAAGCAGTCGGTACTCCTGAGAACTACTGAGAATCGATTTGCTGTTCCGGTGCAGCTCAAGGCCACTCCAGGTTTCAAACTAATAACCAATTCTGCAAATCCTCAGATAAATGTTTCTTATATGAAGCCAGGGTTAGAAAGATCAAGTAACCCTACTGGAGTAGCCCCTACTCAAAACAGCAGGAGGACAGCACCAAAAGCAGGAGTTGCCGAAAAAGGGACTACACTTCTCTCTGCTCTTCAATCAGGTGCTGGCACCACCTCAAATCACTACCTTATCAACAGTCCAGGTTTTAAGGGTCCCGTTCTCTTCTCAAGCACACCACACAATACGCCTACAGACAAAACAGCAAAGACACCGCCAACTTGCTACTTTGTACAGAGGTCTGTTCCATTTGGTCAGACCCCCAGTACTCCTGGTCTCAGACTGGCAAGTGCACAACTCCAGTTGAACTCGAGGCCAGTTCTGGCCATGCCTGTGAGCTCTGCAGACAAACCCAGCAGTCTGCACACTGGTCGCCAGGCATTCTTGCTCCGATACATTTCTCCACCCAAATCAAGCTTACTATTGAACAACCAAGACACAAAGACTGGGGCTCGGTGTAGCCAAACCAGTGAAAGTACTGGAAATAAAGTCATATTTAAAATTGTCACTCCTACCGGTAGCCGTCTTACAAGTGGCGCTCCCACCTCAAGCAGTCAACCTTTGTTTTTGGCCACCAGCCCTCAGACCCAGTGTTTTCTGGTGGCGTCAAACAAAACAAATTCCTCTAATGGAGTAAATAAATTGATCCCCCCACAAAATACTGCACAGAAAGATGTCATGGAATCTTGCATTTCACCCTCTCAGATGAATGTAAAGGTACAACCGTACGACGCAGAGAAACCTATACTGGCCCCAAGGCCAATTAGGCCTCCAAGCCAAAGGAAAAGGCGCAGGAAAGCATTATTTGACGAGCTTCCAGCAACAGTGCATAAAGCTAGAAGACTCGCAAATAAAACACTGACTGAGAAAGATACTACGGTGCTGTGGAAGCCTGTAGCCAAAGAAGTTGAAAGGACACTAAGGCTCGCTCCATTCAGTTCACTCCAGCAGATCAAATGCCCTCGTAGATATCAACCTGTAGTGGTGCTCAATCATCCAGATGCTGACATTCCCGAAGTGGCCAATATCATGAAGGTAGTTAACAGGCACAAAGGTGCTGTTACTAAGGTCTCTCTATCTCAGAAAACAATCCAAGCTCTCTCTGAGCTCGGTGCTCTGTGGAAGAATTCCTCGACCAAAGGTGCATCGTCTCACAGGGAGGACCCAAGACCCCAGCCAGTTCAGAGTTCTGTCCGAGAGCGATTCCTTCTGAAACTGAAGTTAAGGAAAAAAAGCAAAAAAAAGTACGAGGTAGTAGAAACTCAGTCGGGTTGTAGAGAAAGGCCTGTGGTGTTTGACTGCTGGTTTTGTGGTCGGCTCTTTAACAACCAAGAAGATTGGATTGGTCACGGCCAGCGGCACCTCATGGAGGCAACTAGAGACTGGAATAAGCTCTTCTGAAAAGCTTTCATCACCTTTTTAAATGGGTTATTTTGTCCCTTTGAGGTGGATAAATGGTTGTATATTTTTCAATGACCTTCCACATTACATTTGTTTAATTTCTGTTCCTGTAAATACATATTCTTAAATAAATCATAGTTTATCTTTTCATAGGTGCATTTTGTGGTAAAATATGTACTGCAAGCATGATTAAGATCATGCATGCACAGGTCAAATTGAACTGTGAAAATGGTACACTGTAACTTGGAGTTGTGGTAAGAGCACTAGCTTAAATAAAGGGGACAATATCAGCAAAGGTTGTATGTAGAGCTGGTTTAAATTACTCAGGTGATTTCATATTAATCTGGTTTGTCACTTTTGCCTAGTTTAAGGGATTTTTGTATCTTCTTTATTACATGTGAGGACAGGAAACTATTTGTATAGCTTACCGCTCAAGTTTGACAAATTCCTTTGTTTTACTCTTGTGATGTAAAAATGTTATGGTCCAAATTTTTCCATTTTGTATGATGTTTTAATTGAAGGGGATATTATTTTATTGCATTCTATCTGCAGGATTAGTTTAGAGTTTATCAGGATTTTGTCGACCTGTAGCATGCACTTGTTATGACTAGATCTTAGATTTTTCAGAGTAATCTTTTAAATTTCTAATAAAAAGTGCTGCAAATAGACAGGTGGTTTTATATACTACTTTTGCAGAGAAGAGAAATTCTGTATCTGTTTAACTCTGGCTCTAAGTGAATACTGGATAAATACAGATCAACCCATTTTACGCCCTATGCAGTTTCCAAGCAACTATATATTTTTGTCAACCGCTCAGATGTTTAACCTTTTACAATGCCAAAGATGACAAAATGGCTGCAATATTTTAGTCCTTTATAATTGGAAATGTACAAGTTTTGAGTAATTATAATGATGAATAAGATGAACTATGGTTAAACACTGGTTGAAACTAACAATTATGTTCATTCTCGATTTGCCTTCTCTATTAATCAATGAATCGTTCGGTCTATCAATTGTCAGATTAAATTGAAAAATGTCTTTTATAAAGACCGAGGGGATATCATCTTTGTTTGTTTCTAAACCCAAAGATTTTCGGTTTATTATCACATAATAGAAGGAAAAACAGCAAATCATCTCAATTTAAACAGCTGAAACGAGGAAATGTTTGGAATTTTTGCTTGAAAACTGACTTGAAGATTAGTTAATTGTCAAAATATTAGCATATTGCCTTTTTCTGTCGATTGACTAATCAATAAATCGATTGATCGCTTCAGCTCAAAAGGTCTAACACATTACTGTAAATCCTCAAATAAAAGCAGGTATTAACATAATTGTTATCAAGACAACCTCTGCACTTCCTGTAGATATTTCAAATTAAGAGCCTGTTGGGAAAGAGAGAGATTATGCTGTATAAATCACTGAAAGGCTTGCTGGGCAGCCAATACGGTGGAGCCCTGTGTTATTCCACCATCCTCTACACAACAGCTGATTTTTAGGAACTTGGACCACTACCGCAACACATTGAACCTGTGTTACTGCTGATAGTGCTTATTAGATTAAGGAAAAAGGTAGTTTTTATGGCGGGAGGGGTTGGCTGGATCACCCCAGAAGTAAAAAATGCGACTGCAGAAATAATAAACATTTCTACAGGAATGGGTGAGGGTGTATATAAAGACATGAAGCGATGTGTTTTGACATCAATGTGTACCATAGTGCACCCAGAGACCCCAGAGAGAACAAAATCACAAGAAAAGGCATTTTCATACTTTTTTTTTTTTTTTAAACTTAAACATTAAAAGGTTTCTTATTAATATTGAATACTTTCTTTCAGAAGTCTATTGCTGGTCACATTTGTTTTTTATGCTCTGGACATTTTAAGTGTAGTAAGAGCCATGTGACACGTAACCCATGTGTTTGGACTCTGCATTGTCTTTCACCTAATATTGCATTAATGTTGTACTATTACTCTGCTCACTGGCTTTATCAAGTCCAGTATGTTGTACATACATTTGTTTTAATGTTACATTTGACACTTTTTTCCCTTGCCAACAGGACATGGACCTTTTTTTTTAGTTTTTTCATAGTTTTAATGATTGTATCACATGATCGAACTGTGGAATTAATGTTTCATTCCGTTCAATATGCAAGTGACTGAACAATGGAAGCCATGCTAATGTTTTATACTTTCAAAATGGTTCTAAACAGCCAGCCTCCTATTACTAAAGTTCTGACCTCAGCATATATCGCTTTTCACCAGCATTTGCTAAATGTTTTAATTTCAATGAACTGCTCCAATCCACAAGGTGGGCATTTTATTCTACATTAGGTGAAGCCCCTGAAATAATTTCTTGTAAATCTCCTAAGAATCTAGCCTGAGTAGTAACTACATTCCTTAAGGAAGAGAACACCTCTTCCTTAAGGAATTGTTCATTATTTTGTGAAATTTCACTTACTCCCTATTTTTGTTTTCCAGAGAGTGAGTTGAGAAGATTGAAATGTCTGTTGGGTACAGAGCCGGGGGTTCTGTGCAGTGTCTCTGGCTACTACATGGGTTGCCAGATATGCTTAGTCAACACAGGTTTTCTTATAGCTCTCTGTATGTGCTTGATGGTACCAAACCTGTCAACGTCACTTAAAGACAGGACTGTTGTTCCACAACAATACTCCCCCTAAAACTACTATTTTAGTGACATTTGGACACAGCAAGCTAGCTCTTTGCCTCCTGCTTCGTCTTTATGCTATGCTAAGCTAGGCTAACCATGTCCTGAATCTGTACATAGCGCACATTAGATTGACACGTTCTTCTCATCTCATGCTCTGAAAGGAAGTTCTAAAATACATGATTAGCCTAGCTTAGCATTAAGACTTCCAGCAGTTAAAAATAGTTCCAACACATAACTCCCCCTTAAACAACTAATTGTCATTATTATGTTTCTTTTTGTGTACAGCCTAAACAAATTACATACAATGTGTCAATTGGTGAGCTTTAGAAGTGTTGGTTGCTGATAAGAAAGCCAGGCTAGCTGTGTCGCCCTGCAGTCTTTATGCTAACCTAGCCAACCCCATGAAGACAAAAGCTCCGTACGTAACACACAAACATGACATTGATATCCATCTTCTCGTCTCACTGTAATAACGAAAGCAAATATGCTTATTTATGCTATTCCTTTAATCAAACCAGTCTAGCCAGCTGCAGAAAGCTAACTTCCTTGGTCATAATGTCTCCTTGTCCAGTACTAACAATCTTATTTTGTTCCCTTTTAGATGAGATAACATTCCAAATCAGTGAAAAGCTGTTAAAATGTTAGTTTAAAGAATTTAAATATCTCCTAAAATATTTATGCGCTTTATATTTCTCTCTTCAAACTGGTTTGGGTAAACATGCATATACAGTACTTTAAAGTCAAATAGCAGGATGTAAAGTAGCTAAAGGTTGATATCAATCCTTATATTGGGGAATATTCAGTATTTTAATTCTTTGAGCTGGAATTTAACTCATGTCTGTAATATGAGGCATAACAATATTGAGTTTTGGGATACAAAATGAACTAATTATAACTGACACAATTGAGTGCTCATTAATGCAACATTTTGTAGGACCCCCCCCCCCCACCCATGAATATGGCTTGAAATGATCACAGCCAAATGGATGCAAACACCAAATGACCTCCAGATCACATTTCTGCTTGTTTCAGACTGGTTTCATATGTATGAGCGAAATGTACAGTGCGATGTTTCGTCCGTCTTGTCCATTTTGAAAATATGTTTTGATAGGATTCTTAAACACTGTGACGCCACGTTATGTGGGGGACACACTATTATATCGGCTTATTTTCCTCGGTTGTGAGCCCGAAATGAAAAAGTGAGCAATGATTAAAAAACAGTTTAATACACAGAGACAACTTCTACATTTCAGCCTCCTGCTGCCTCCTGCCTCCTGCTGCTCCTAGAGCTGATGTTACTCTACCACAAACCAGATTGTAGGTTTCCACCAAATGCTGAACTCATGTACATTAAACTGTTCAAAACTTTACTGAATCTCTCCCCACGCGAAGTGCCTCGAATGTCCTTTGGCAGGTCGACAATGTGTACTGTATTCTTCTGTTCAACTTAGTGGTTCACTCTCCTCTAATAAATGTGCATACCTAGTGAAAACAAATAGTGGTGGCTTTTTGTTTTTGTCAGAAATAATGGCACACATGTTTGATAACCAAGTTTAATACTTGTATGCTGTATTCAGCACAGAGGTGAAATAGTGCAGGTCTTATTCGCAGTGTGTTTTATGGTGCTGATGCTGAAAAGATCCACATGAGGGCAACACAGGACAAAACGTTGCAGGAACTCCTGAATTTCATTCTGCTTAATAATCCCCCGTTTAATGCTATAATTTAACACTTAATGTGGGCCTAAATCAGACACTAAAAGTGTAATTGTTGGCATACTGTAAATAATACTGAACCGGCTGCCTTAGAGTAATGAATAGGTTGGACTGGAGGCCACACATTAGTGTGAGTTCCTAAAAAAAAAAAAGAGTTCACATAGATTATGTTATGTGATTAACCCTCTTGTAAATGATGAAGTCCCATGTTTTGAAAGTAAATACATATACACTCAGTTGCCAGTTTATAAGGCACACATTAGGTTTACAAGCTCAAACTAACGCAGTCTGATACAGCCAATAAACGTCTCTTGGAACAGTTTGAACAAAAAGTGAACATTACAATCTCTATAAAGGGAGGGTTTATTGAAGGACTGTGAGAATAGGCCGCATTGGTTTTAGCTATGTGGACCTAATAAACATTTATATTAGCTCTGCAATTTTGTTGATTTGAAAACATGTTGATAATGGCAGGCTTAAGTTTGTGATCATTTCAATAAAAGGAAAACCAGAATTGCCCTCTGATGTAATAATGTTAAATTAGAATCTTTGATCGTCTGAATTAAATGTGTAAACCTTTCCCCGGAGCGACAATTTGCATGCGGTGACACACACATACACGGTCTCTGAATACACCTGCAGATTCCAGTGCACATTCACAAATCTTTGTACACATTTGGAGATTATTTTACACTTTCAAAAATCTCATTACTCACACACGGATTGAGATACAGCTAGACAACTCTCCACACAGATAGTTCTGCTACAATAATTGCCTTTGTGGCAGAGCAATGTGCAGCCACAGCCCACCCATACATAACATGTATCTATGCTGCATCTGCTTTGAGTCTACTTTGTTCATGTCACTTTTCCAGTGTGAACACACTACTAAAAATCTGTTTCTGTCAGACCATCAGGCACCTCGCAGTATGGTATAATATCTTAACAAAATACAAATGGACTGCAATAACCACCCCATGTGACAACCTCTGAAATGAGACAAACAATGTTTGTAAGATGCATAGAATACAATAGTAAAACTGGAAACAAAATACTGGACAGGCTCACGTTATCGCAGTGTCTTCAGGGGTCTCTCTTGGGCCAGCGTTTGGTTTGTCCGTGCTGGGCTACTGTAGAAATGTGGCGGTGTACATGGCGGACTCTATATGTTCCATATGTAGATATGAAGGGCTCATTCTTAGTTTCAGGTGATTATACGCTAATGAAAATATAGTTATGATTTTATATTCCATTTCTGCTAATAGATCTCCCAAAATGCGAGACACTGGCCCTTTAAGATGTCCTTATTTATCCTATGTAGAGAAATGTAAATGTCACTACAGCAAATTGATGCACAAGTACAGTTGGATATTATAAATACTGTATAT